GCAAATTTATTAGCGACCTGTGGGAAGGAGCGGACGAGCATCCGTAGGTAGTGTACGGAGTATGCGCGGTATGCAGTCAGGTCGTGGTCAACGGGATGAGCTGAGACGGCAAGTGGGGATCATAGATGCGAAAGGTAAAGGTATCGTCCAATCGGTCAAGATGAATGCGCTACGGTCAGAGTGGCAGCCGGGACAAGATGGAAAGCAAACAGGATTGGATCATTGGACGTCGCGTGCAAGGTACGGAGCACGAACTGGTCGGGCAGCTTGGCAGTAATTCGTATGTCAGGGAGGGGAAACTGCCCAGGTATTCCTTCCAGAGGAGAAGGAGACGGGAAAAAAAGGGAGGGGATGATGGCAGGTGCTAGATTCAGTTCGGTAGGTCTGTCCGGACACTCGGGAAAGAGGGAGCGAGACCCGGGCCAGGGTCCGGGAAGGCGTAAGGGGGTCGTCTCTGCACACAATCTGGGACTGTCACATAATACTTAATCAAGTGCATGTCTGCCTCATGGATCGAGAGCAATGGTCACCAAAGCCTAACGAACATGAATAGCGCTGCTGGCATCGATAGAGACAAAGTAACTTCATGTGGTGGAGAGTGAGAGAGAGAGAGAGAGAGAGAGAGAGAGAGAGGGGGACAGAAAGACAAAATTGACTGCAACTTCTAGGTTCGCATCCAGGTTCAGATTCAGGTACGGATGAAAGTATGTACTTCTCGACCAAATCGCATCAGAACCACGGAGCAAAAAGGACAAAACAGCACAAGATACTACGGATGCCCGGCGTCTGATTCATAGGTACTGGTACACCGTGCTGCGAGTGCTATGTAAGGTAGGAAGTACAGAAAATAAGACGTCAATTTGCAAAATGTCCGTCTTTCCCTGTCAGCCTCCACTCGACTGTTTGGACCTTGGAAAACATGGCATGGGCATGGTTGTGTCTCCAGAGAGACCCAGAGAAACAAATACCAAACTCCACTGCAAGATTGATGAAGTTTGCATTTTGTCCAGAGTATCCGTCTTCGCTCTCTCTGGCCGGCAGGCAACATCAACAAAAGGTAATCTCGATTCGAACGATTCAGGATCTATCGTCTTGCGGGGGTAAATTCCTCTGCGATACGGTCATATGCCCCTTTCCCTTCCAAAGAGGCAACGTTTTGTTCTTTCGCTGCACAAAGTCAAACCCCGATGCGTCTCTTGGCCCTCGCTTCGTCCCGTCTTAGAATGGTCTTGCGGCGTCTGAGTAAGAACGCAAGACATTGGAGAAAGGGGAATGCACCTAGAGTGCATTGACGGTCCCCGTATCTAAGCATTTCCACCCGCGAGGTACAAGAGGGGGGGGAGGGGGGGATCACAGAAGCATCCAAAAGATGATTTAGAGACAAGAAGCTTGGATTCAAATGCCAAGATCGTACGGCCACAACCAACATCAGCCGTCACCACCAATCGGTCAATACTTTGGGCGGTAACCGAACCCAGAGAACGGCGGGGCCTGGCTCTTGTAGCCCATGGGTGATTGGCTGCGAATGTGCAAAATGACGGCAAACTGGCAAGCATTCCACGAGGTCAGAGGAGTCAATCTCCATGCTGGGAACCCTCGTCGATGGTACGATGTTGTACCGCAAGGCTTAGATCAAAACCACGGACGAGCAAAGGTCAAATATATTGACAAATACGTACTTCATACTCCGCAAGGTACAGTATGGATACCGCTCTATCAAAGTTTCCCACCTTCATGATCCATCCGTTCGGCACCGACAACGGAGGCGGAGGTGGGCGGAAACAAACACAACAACGCATCTCATCCCGAAACGGTCAAAGTCGGGTCGAGACCGAGATTGTGGTGGTTGTGGTTGCCGGTTGGGGTTGCAATCAAGCCAAGTCCTTCCAGGTCCCGGGTTGGAACATCCGAGAGAGTTAAGTTGCTTTCTTACGACAGGATGACTTCAAGGTTCCTATGCGAATGGCTCAACGCTCAACAGCCCAATGCGGCTGACCATTGATTCTGTGCCCGATAGCCATACGCCAACCGATCTGCTTTGGGATCAATATGCGCAGGCCGCAGGGCACTGGGGGGATTCGTTTCGATGAGGGGAGCAAGGGAACTGTGTTGGGATTCGAAGCCCGGGCACCTATATCAGTGCTACTATCGACTTGCGTACATACGAATGCTCCGTGATCACCATGTCGCCGTATTGGAATTATTCGAGGCTGACAGACAGCCTACTACATGGACGCGGCCAGGACCCCGGGGGCCGGCGGTCGTTGAGAAAAGAAATCCTACTTGCCGCTGCATTGCATCCTGCGGGCTTACGCAGGCAGGCCGGACAAGTTGGGGAACAGTCGCAACTCGTATTCTGACAGAAGACGCAGAGAAGTAATTCAACGCTCTCGGTCTTGAGGCAGGGAAATCCCGCCAATGGCCCAATGCAACTCTGGAGTCTGTGCTTCTCTTAAGACATGCTACTATGATGTGAGGGCTCAGGGCAATCGATGGATGGATGGCCGACCCAGCTCGACCTTCCTTGATGTAGCTCCCCCGCCTCTCCCATCCAAGACTTGGGTTCAGGAAGTGGCTTAGTCAGACGTCACAGGCTTGGCCATCTGCGTCTTACCCGTTGACGCTGTCAAATACCGTACACTCTCTCCAGCTGTTGTTATTGATGTATCAAGATTGGTGCGGTATGGGACATCAACAATGACAACTAACAAGAAAACCAATACTAGGCACAACCTGGGGCTTCAGTAGGACGCTAGTACTCTGATTGCAGAAAATCTTTTGGCTATTATGAAACGCGATCCACGTCGGCCCAGCTTACTGGCTCGTTCCTGTGAACAATACCGAACCGTCTCTTCCACAGACAAGGAACCCTTTCCCCCAGGCGTTCACTCCAATTATGAGCCGGACGATATTGGAAAAGTTGATTCAACGTAGCCCCGCAGGACAACTCTCCTAACCGCGTGCCGCCGCCCGCTTTCCGCTGCCCTTGCATGCACAGTAGAGCTCAGCCGGGCTCTAGTCTCCAGGCACTGCCAGGCTAACAAGTGGCGATGCACATTCTAGTTAGACGGAGGTAGTGCAAGCCCTGCAAGTGTGCAGGTGCATCTTGGTGCAGCGTACATACATGGCAAAACGCCTTGGAGATATATAGGCTAAGCTGAATGCCGGCGGTGGCCACTCCATAGTCTAGACCAAGATACGTAAGGTAATCCACAAACAAATAAAGTCCACTTGCAGGGCCTGTATTTCTTCTTTCTTCAAACTATCCAAACGCATACATAGTACACCTCGTGGCCTTACTGCGTACAGCACTCTCCTAACAGAGTGTGACTCCCGAGACCAGGGCAAGTTTGAGAGGCCGATGACTCCGCCCAGCCCCAGCGTGCCCTGACACTTGAAGAATTTCCACCGCAAGGTGACGGGAGCTGGTGGACCCCCACGACCACCAATCGTCTCACCAGCCCCCCCAGGGGTGCCTTAGCGTTCCACGGTCTCCCACGGTCTTGCGCCCCCCTTCAGTGGCTTAAGCGTCGAGGAGCCCTGAACTTTGAACTCCTGGTGGGCTGGTTGTACCCCGTACGGATGGATAGGTAGGCAGCGTCATCGAGCGACGACGAGTCAACGACAGCAAAATCTCCAAAGAGGGCAAAAGAAGGCAAAGCAACAAAGCTACCGTTTAGAGACGGCGCCCGTGTTCGGCAGATCGTGTGGGACGTGCACCGTCGTCCCATTTTTCCCACTGCTCAATGAGCCCAGACCTGAAAGTCACCAGCCAATCAGTACGTGCTCTTCCGACCGTTCAAGCTGCGATACGTACCTGCTGCGACTTACCCAGTACCGTTAGGTTCTTACCTTAGCAGGCTTAGGTTCTCCGTTCACTCTGTTAAACCTTCAAGGGTACCAATTACCTGATACACTGGACCAACCAAAGACGCGTTGAGCTGTCGCGCTTGTTGACAACCAAATACGATCAACGACAGAGCACAAGTCTGATCCTCGATCTGGCCTCCGCATTCTCACTGTTGGCATTCCTCCCATACATGACTTGCATAATCGATTGAGATGACACCTTCTAGCGCGTGAGGTCAGGTCGCGCAATCCTGACTGGCGGTGATTTACAGTGGCTTTCTAATAATCCCTGTTCATCTAGTCGTGGGGTTCACATCAGGACGGGAACTCAAACACTTGTCTAGTTCCTTGTCAGTATTGACATAAAATCTGGCTATGGTTATGGCGGCCAAGAGGAAGTTCCTGGTACTTGAGGGTCCAAAGGATGAACAAGCCGAGTACAAGAAATCAAAGTTGATACAGATAAAAGGTCAGGTCAGGCACACGTTTCTACAACAGCACTATGATGTCGTGCAGACACTCCGCGGATACCTGCTTTCTAAACTGCCAGGGTCTTCGAGACTTCGCCGCAAGAAGATTGCAGCGTTGGGAAAAGACCAGGCACCGTGGGCACGCATCCAAGACCACGACATCATACCAGAGCTTGCTTCGTTGTTAGACACAACCTTGGTCTGCACGCAACACCACCCTGAGGCACAAGTTGACTCTCGGTGGGAGCAATGGCGGTCTTTTTCCCAGAAAGCCGACGACTCGATTGTGTCTCTCTCGGGAGGTTTGGCCCAAGCTACTTCCTCGCAGTCCGAGGTAGGCCATTACTGCGCGAATGATCCGTCTCCAAGGCTGACCGTCAAACACAGATCGTTGACTTCGTAGTGTGGCAAATATTCAACAGACATGCTGCTCGGCCGAAGCACCTCCTCTGTGATGGGTTCCGGAGGCAGGCTCAGAACATTGCCAATACAGAAGGCCAGGGTCGCGATAGCGGGATTCAGGGGCTGGTGGCAGTCGACCCGAATCATTACGTGCAGGCACTTAAAGAAGCCCCTTGGCCGCAAGTACTTATGCTGCTCGGGAAATCAGGCGAACAGATCATGATAGATCTCCTCATTGATACGGCGATGTTTCTCCCTGTGAGAGCTGGGCACGGCAATATGTACCAGCTCAGTGGTATTCCCATATCAGAGAGGGGCGTAGGCGCGAATCAGGATATCAAGAAGCAGACAAAAGGGAATACCACAGCGCCGCCCATGCTCCAGGAGCGGGCCCCGTCTGAAATCAACTTCATCAGAAATCGCATGCTCTACGCTCGAGCTGCTCTTACCGCCAAGGGCACGGTTCAGTATGGACTGCGGCACATACGTAGGTTTGCGTTCGAACCAAAGGCAGAGAGACACTTTCACTAATGCCAATCAATAGATATCCTGAGTCGTTGCCCGCGCCTATCGTGTCCAGAACGGGAAATTGAAGGAGAGAGATCAAGAACGATACAGGCGAACGAGCGCAACACGCTGAAAGTCATGATGTACATCTTCCCTCGACAATTCGGCTTACACAATGCCTTCACCTCCAAAGTTGACCACTCCAAGACATCGCAAAAGTTTGCAGACTACTCTGTCCGCGAAGATGAGATCTCGACAACGTTCAAGGGGCGCGATATCAAGCTTCCAAAGAGACTGCGCGGAGACGCAAAACGACTGGTGCAGAGGCTACAACTTCTCCACGGTCGTTGTGCTTACGCTGAGATACTGCGACATTACTGCCCTTCTGCCGTTGATTTCAAAGCCCAGAAATCCGTCTCAAAGAAGCCGGTAAAGCAGTCCAAGGGACTTAATCCTGCACCGGTGGCGGGAAGAGAAAACCAAACAGTCGTTACATCTAGACCCCCCAGAAATAGCACACAGAACCGCTACAAGCTTCACCAACCCACGGTGCTTCCGCAGTTGCCCAAGTTTGATGCGATCACTGACTTGGCAACTCCCGCAGCTCATGTTTCCGCATTCTGTCAGGCTGTATTAGCCAAGATTATACCAGATGAGATGTGGGGCAATGGTGAGGACGGAACTCACAACAAGAGTCAAATTCTGAGGAAGGTCGATCACTTTGTCAAATTGCGGAGATTCGAGGCTATGTCCCTTTGCGAGCTCGCAGACGGCATTAAGGTAAGCAGTCATCTGGCCCTGATGGATTCTGTCTAACGTATTCATAAAGATTACCAGTATGGAGTGGTTGGCGCCTCCAGGTCTCAAAGGCCAGAAGACCAGCTTGACTGACATGAAGAAACGACGAGAGATTATGAACGAGTTTTTGTATTACATTTTCGATTCGCTGTTGATACCCCTTTTGCGCAGCAACTTCTACATTACGGAGTCGAGCTCCCACCGTTATCGTCTCTTTTTCTTTCGGCATGACGTTTGGCGATACGTCGCAGAACCAGCAATGGCGACACTCCGAACAAACATATTTGAGGAGATCAAGCTTGACCGGGCTACCGCAGTGCTTGACTCCAGACGACTGGGCTTCAGTCGTATCAGGCTTCTGCCCAAAGGAAAGGGTATGCGGCCGATCACGAACCTGCGGAGGCGAACAGAGATCAGGGGCAGGAGCTCCATTCTCGGTCCAAGCATAAACACCGTACTAGGCCCGGTACATTCCATGTTCAAGCTCGAAACGGTGACCCTCACTAATCAATCATCTGTGTCATTTGTCGTTTTGCTAATGGGCTTTGCAGCAAATTAACCCCTCCAGGCTTGGGTCATCCATGTTTTCGGTGGGTGATCTCTACCATCGCCTAAACGCCTTCAATGCCAGATTTGGCAACCATCGGCCAGTATTCTACTTCGCCAAGGTAGATGTACAGTCTGCCTTCGATACCATCCCTCAGGAGGCTGTGATGAAGCTGATGGACGGCATTCCGAGTCAAGAACAATACATCATCAAGAAGCACGTCGAAGTCAAAGCCGGATTACTGGATTCTCAACATCAGAAGAATGCGGTATCAACAGTAACGCGACGGTGGCATTCCATCGCCGTCACCTGCAACGATACCACTGATTTTTCGCAGTTGGTGGAGAAGCGCCTCGGCATAAACCGCAAGAATACCGTTTTCGTGGGCAACACCATGAGGAAGGAGCTAGAGACGGAGGCACTGATGGCGCTGATGGCATCGCATATCAAGCAGAACCTCGTCAAGGTGGGCAAGAAATTTTACAGGCAAAAGAAGGGCATCCCACAGGGCTCTGTATTGTCTTCAGCTCTGTGCAACTATTTCTACGCCGACCTCGAGGCGCAACATCTGTCGTTCCTGTCAGAAGGGGAGGGGCAGGAGGTTGAGGGAGGAGATTGTCTGCTCCTGAGGCTGATTGACGACTTCCTCCTCATCACGACGAACCAGGCGAAGGCGCGCAGGTTTGTGGGGGTCATGCACGGCGGTCTGCCCGAGTACGGCGTCGCCGTCAGCCCCAACAAGACTTTGGTCAACTTTGACATGGACTTTGATGGTACGAGAGTAGCCAGGCTTCCGGATGGGGCTCGATTCCCTTATTGTGGACTGGGCATCGACTGTGACACCCTCGACATTGTCAAAGACCGAGGTTATGTCAAAGATACAGGTAAGCTCTTTATTATGCCATCGCAAGGAGGTACACGTCGTTGGCTAACCTGGCCATCAGTGGTCTCCAACGCGTTGACCGTGGATTACGGGAACAAGCCCGGCCAAAATTTTCAGAGAAGAGTCTTGAGTACGTCTTGCAACCATACCTTCCTATAACTAACCATCGTTCACGTGAATTCGATTCAAGACACGCCCGCTAACCTTTGCGTCATCTGCCATCAGACGCCTTCAAAATCCAGTCCCACCTCATGTTCTACGATACCAAGCACAACACCATCAAAACCGTCATGTCCAACCTCCACAAGGCCTTTGCCGAGACGGCCGAGAAAATGTGGGCGTACTGGCGCTGTCTGCCCACCAGCAAACGACCCGGTGACGGGCTCGTCATGCGTATGTGTGTCCCTTATCCCGCTCAAACACACCATGTTTGCTTTACTAAAACCCGGCCTTTGCTTTACCCCCTTTCGACTAACAATCTTCATTTTTTGTTGTCACAGAGACCCTGGCCAAAGTAATCGACGTGGCTTTCGGGTTGCTCACGAGTAAGTCTCGGAGGGAAAAGTACCCAGAGTACGATTGTGCCCTGGAGAAGACGCACGTTGCGTGGTATGTATTTCTTCCATCCCCAATATGTTGTTGTAGCGACTCGTCATCTAACTTGAAGATTCTCCCAAAGGCTCGCTCTCGATGCAGTGAAGATGATTCTCGCGAAGAAGCAGGCAAACTTTACGACCGTCTTGTCGTGGATTGATAAGGAGCTCGGATGTCTCGACTCCCGGAAGACAGCCCGGGCGAGGAAGTACATACGAGGGTGAATAAATAGACAATTACCGTTGTACAATATACATTACACGGAACCTTCAAAGTCAAAGAGAAAGGCTGGTTGTGAGACCCTGTGTGTGTGTTTCCTTCAAGGCAGAATCCTCCTTGCCTACCATAATAGGTCGGATGGAACGTGAACTCTCCCCCGTGTTTGTCTTACTCGCTACGCCTCTACTGCCCCGCTCCTATGTGCCACACATCGCCTATCCATATCGAACACGTCGACGAGTTTTGTGATGGAAAGCCTAGGAAAAGTGCCTTCTCGTACCACTCGGAAACCCTGTTGCTTGCCGGGCATCAGTCGGAATTTGGACTTTTGTGCAATACGAGCGTTGTCTTGTGAAGCGCCAGCACAAGATTCATCTCCGAGGCGAAGTAACTCAAACACTGCCTTAAGACGTTTGAGAGGAAACCTCTTTTTTCTATACCACAGTAAGGTTGACAGTCATCGAATTCCACAGAGATAGCAGCTAGCACTCAGCCCTATATCTTGACTAATTTCCATAGAAGGGGGTGGTTCAAACGAGCTACGGCGACGACTCTCAGAGAAACTATGAAAGAGCAAGAGAGATTCTTCCTAGAGAAACTCGCCGCAGCGTCCGAATACCCAGATTCCCTCCTCTACCAGGATGAGCGACGGGCGACGCTAAATGCACGCATCAAGCATTATGCCGAGAAGAAACATCAAGTATTTGACGAAGATTTGGGGAAGCGAGAGGATAACCCGTTGATCGTCATTGATTTCGGCACGGGTGAATCTCCGACTGTGGGCGACTTCGATGCCAACGAGGTTTCCAGCGAGGAGAGGTGTGGGAAGAAGACCGACTTACACATCATACGAAACATTGACAACTTACGAAACAAGCTGTCCTGGCCGGATCCGAAGCAAGGCCCGTGGAAGCCCGGATACCTCAAGAAGGACCCCCCGTTGCGAGTGATGTGAGTCCGCTCACCAAAAGCGATCATCCAGCGCAACGGTAAAGGGGGGCACTAACGGCATCGAAAACCAGCCTGCTAGAGCGCATGTGGCCTACCTCGCTGCTGCTGAACCTCGGCGAAGACGTACTGCTGGGGATCCTAACCTACCATCAGATCCCAGCTCACTTCCTGACTTTCCTCACCAGCGGCGGCGACTCTTGGAGCTTCGCCAGCAGCATGAGCTCCGCGGGCTTCAAAGGCTGTACGAACACCCTCTCGGACCCTGGTCAACAGCCCACAGGCTTGGCGGTGCTGGGTCGCAGTGGTAGGCACATTCAGGTCTGCCTCACCTTGTTCAGCATCCGCGAGTATCCCTCACACGCGCTACCCCGAGACGCGAACCCCGCTAGAACACCGCGGTGGGAGACGCACTCTGCGGTCGTGTACGTTCATTTTGACATCATCGAGGGCACGGCGGTATGGTTGCTCGCTAGCCCCCGATCGTATCATCTGGAAAGGGGTCACGGTACGCAGAACCTGCTTTGGAACGCTTTGAAAGACGACATGGCGAGTGACATGGGTTCGCTCCGGTCGCTTGACGTCCCCGAGCGATTCCGCATCAGTATCGATAATCTCCTTGCCGCTGCCGAGTGGTCCATCGGGATGTTTTCGCGTCACGTCCAGGACACGGAGAAGAGGCTTCATGACTTGGTGAGTCCGTTCTTGGCCACATGATGTGAGAGGCGCAACAGAGCCGGAGCTATGCTGAGATCCGATCCAGACCAAGCCGTACGTTTATCCGTATGACGATGACGAGATGGTGAATGACAAGGCAAGCGAATCAATCCACGCCCAGGACCTACGTAGAATGGCGTTCTTGATGGAAACTCGGCATGGCAGTGTCATGAAATTTGAGAATAACCTTCGGGTTCTCCGCCGTCTCCGAGAGTTTTTCGTGGAAGATGTGGCCGGGCATCTCGGCCCTCTCAAAGATTCCCACGCCGATGAGATCCGGACGCATATCAAAGGCTTTGCGGAGAAGTTGACATTGGTGATGGCAGAAATTGAGGACTTGTTGGACAGGGCATCAGCGCTGGATAAACTTGCGAGGAACAGAGAAGAATACGTACGTGGCGACTAAGGGTGTCAGATCAAGGGGAGCGAACGCTAAACGGTCTAGATTCAACGGTTGCAAGCGCACCACTCAACTCAGCAAATGAAGACAATCGCGGCGTTGACGGCGGACGACTCGTCAGCGATGAAGCAATTGTCTTTCATTGCCCTGATATTGTTACCAGTCACGGTCGTATCAGTAAGCCAAGATAGTCCCCGTCGAGCATAGTTGTTGAAGAGAGGCAGAACCCGAATGCGCTGATCGGATGTCGTAACCAATCATATTCCATGCAGACAGTTCTCAGTACGGACATTGTCAAGTTTCAGGACCTTTCGAACGAAACCGAGAATGCCACCCGAGGCACGACCGAAGGCTCCGTTCCGATGTACAACTTTTCGGTGGCGGCCTTTGGCACATGGGCGGTCGCCAGCGTACTCATGACTATCGCGACTTTGGTCATTGTCAAGCCAGTAGGGAGCCGTAGGAGGCAAGGCGGCGGCAGTGTAGATTGTGAGACGCACGAACCCCCCATAGAGAAGATAAGGAGATCTCGACTGATCAAGCGATTGTCTCCTGCGTGGAACATTCGAGGCAGGTTCGGCTCAGCCGTAGACTCTTCGTTCAACAATGCCAGGCCCAGGCCACCGAGCCCAGCGGCTTCGGCACTCGCGACTTCGATACACACGGCTCCGACAGTCGTCAAGACGGCATCAAACTCGCGAGGGACTCCGGTGGTGGATATGGATGCACCCGTGCGTGCCGAGTCCTCTCAAACTTGGACGTCGATGGAGTACTGGCTGGGGGATCCTTGGAACACAATGTGGCGGTCTGCAAAGGATAAGCTGAACAAGACGGAGATGGCGACGACACCTCTACCACGATGGGATAGTCGAAGAGACGAGGGGCGAGAAGATGGGCAGAAATCGCGGGGAGAGGGTTCGTGAGTGCATGGTGCCTTAGCATGTTGGTTTAAGGCACAAGGTTATCCGAAAGGTAATGTAAGGTAGGGTCGCATCGTCCAAGTGCTGGATTCGGAGAAATAGGATCGGGCACGGCAGATTGACACATGCCAGATCCCCTCGGTCCCTTGCTACCCTCCGAATCTCCAAGGCTGCAAGGTTATCTGACAGACTCAGCTCCTGTTAGCCGCATCTTTGTTTCTATGTTTCTTTTAATGGATTGTCACTTTCAATACGGATTCGGTGTATCCTAGGAGTATTGGTGTGCTTGCGTTGACCAGGATGGTGACATGAAAAGAAGGTGATATGTCAACGGTTGAAGCGGTGGCCGAGGAAAGACGAAGCTCACCATGGCTTGATGATATTACCTAGATGAGAAAAGCAGATGAAGATTCAAGCTAAGATCTAAGATCGCAATGTGGCAGTGCTCCTACCCTCCGTACTCGTATGTGCATTGTCGTTTCTTTGAGCAAGCACTTTCTCATACGGTACTGCGGTATCATAGGTACCTAGGGAGGTGCAGATGAAGGAAGGAGTCTCCTGGCGCTGAGGTAAGGCATTTTCATGACGCTGATGCATAGGAGGTTTTAGCGAATCAGCCCACTACACGCAGCTAGCGGGCGACTGAGTCCACCAGAATGGCCCCCATGATTCGTAGTCTTCGGATACGACAGGGAGCCACCTCGCCTGGCCGACGATTTTCAGGGAAGGTCCCATCACCCGAGGCAGGTGCCGTGCAAAGATGGTGGCGGCCCGGGAAGCTTGCGTGGGGCGGGCCTTCCACACTCTTGCCTCTTCTGACCACACGACTGGCGGTGCAGGTGCAGGGGAAGCAGAAGAAGGAGTGGGTTCCGGCTCTTTCATAGACCGGCGGCCTGGTTGACGTCAGACGAAAAGATGCGGCGACTTTGCGTATGCTCGTCTCCCGCCGGCTCAGCTTACCACGCTTACTACGCCAACACGCCTTGTTCGATTTAATTAGACAAAAAACACAATTGTAAAGCGCGAAAAGGGTAAACGAAAGAGAGGCTAGTGAAAGCAATACCCTTGCCCTGTTTGTTAGTTCCATTCGTCTATTTCCCTTTGCCCATTATCTAGCCCACTATCTTGCACTACGATACTTGATCCATCCTTGCTCACATGACACTGCCATCCCATCCTCCTTCTACAACCTGCTACCTATTTGAGATCTCAGTTTTGTTTCCAAAGGGGCGAAACACATCTTGACTTGCCATGTTCTGTGGACGACAGAAGCACGCACATACTCACACCAACTCGCCTCACCCATGATCATCATCCAACTCACCCACACACGCCACACGTCGCATAATTTCAGCCCATCTCATTGCTGCTGGTCTGGGGCCTTTACCTTCGAACCCTCGTCTCTATCTGCCAGCCTGCCTACCTCGCCCCAATTCAAACCGGTCGCGGGCTCTTGAACCATCCCGTTCTGCCCACTCGCGATCACCGTACTCGGGTTCGCTTTGGAAACGACATCTGACGACTTGGTCCAAGCACGCCGAAATCCACGAGGGCATTGGACCAGATTTTGTGGCAGACTCTCGTCAGACATCGGAACCATATCAATCATTCTCAAGAGGCTTCAAGTTTTGACTGCTTCCTTCCCCTCTAACCAGAAAACCCTGGCTGTGGCTAAGCCAACGCCTCCGTCGCCTTTCCGTACTCGGAGACTCAGCCGTGTCTCGTTTATCTCGTGTAATGTGCGAGTCAGACAGATACGCAGCCAGCTGCAGTTAATGCCGTTTTTATTTATACAGCACTTCATCTTCCCTTCTTCCAACGTCTCTTGGCTCACCATCACCGATTAACATTAGGCGTTCGAAGGTTCTATTTCTTGAAGCAAAATAGTATATGCTGGAGTCCAAGGAAACTATCCAGACCGAGAACAAAATGGCAGCCGACATCACCACGACACTGGGTATCCCAAGCCTCACCGCACCGGTATTAGCAAACGCCACAAAGCCCAGCCTTGCCAACATCAGCGCTCCCTTGCTTGCCACCATAGTTCGCGACAGCTACCGTGCTACCTTCAAAGCTCGCGTCGCCGCCGGTGAAGCGCGACCTTTCGTACTTCCTTACGGCATCTTTGCGAGCTTCATCGTCCCCATCCTCTACTTGACCTTTCCGCACACAAAACGGCCATGGCTCTACAAGGCAAGATGGCTCGTGCTAGCCTTCATCGTCATCTTCAACATTGACATCTTGCTGGGCACCTCTAGCACCAACATGTCCATATCTTATTCAAGCGGCCTGTCAGCCTTCTGGGGAATACTGTCTAACTTCATTATGCTGGCATTCACGGCACCACAATTCGACTACGAAAGAGTTGTTCGGAGGAGAAAGGGCGCCACTACCTCAAACAGATCGAAGCCGTCTGCGGATCGCGCATCTCCAATAAACGGATCCGGACTCAGGAAGCGAGCTGGTGGCAAGAAGCGAAAAGCCGACCAAGTCACGGCCCCTGAAGTCAACCTCCAAGAGTACGAGTACTACTGGCAGACTTTCCCAGAGAATGGGCCTTTTTCAGAGCGACTGGGCTGGGTCATCGACCTCTACACCAATTTCAGGGGAGTCGGTAAGGAAATTGTTCCCCTATGCTAAAGCGAGCTCTATAATAACATGAATCAGGTTGGACTTGGGCGGTTTCGTCGGTTCCCAGTCCAGTTCCCCCGGAGAACCCTGGTACGGGTGAGCTCGTCAAGATGGATACCATTCCGTTGGAAACATTCGTGGGGTGCCAGACCTACGAAGACGAGAAAGAGTTCTTGCGACGGAAGGTCATCCCCATCGCAATCTCGTATATGATCCTCGACATCGCCAAGGTTGCCATCATGGAGGACCCATACTTCTTCCTCGGACCCGAGTCGTTACCCCTTCCTGCTCATCTCGCGGCTCTCCCACCATGGGCTCTATCAATATGGCGGCATGCCTCCGTACTCGGTATTCTCTACGCAGCACTCGTCATGGTCTTCTCCGTTCATGACCTGTTCCAGTACTACGTCCTTAGCAAAGTCTTCCCCATGCGGGGTGAGCTGTGGCAGTACTCGACGGTATTCGGTTCCTTTACACAGATTCTGGACAGAGGCTTGGCCGGGTTCTGGGGAGCTTGGTGGCACCAGACCTTTCGACATGCCTTCTCTGCGCCAGTCAACTGGGCTATAAAACGTGGTTATCTTGAGAAAGGCACGCGAAGCACAAAAGCAATCGGGATGTCTACCGCCTTCCTTCTGTCTGGTCTGCTGCATGGTTCCGGAAGCATCAGCGCGATCCCCGAGACCAAGTGGTGGAAGCCAGCGCTCTTCTTCTGGTTGTCAGGGCTGGGCGTCCTTACTCAGCAGACGTTCTGTACCGCCATGAAGCCCCAGAGTACAAAGATGCCTCGTACGCTCAGGAGAGCTGGGAACCTCTTATTCGTGCTCGTGTGGCTACACGTCACCGTCCAGCCGTTGGCCGACGACTTCTCGCAAACTGGCCTCTGGCTCATGGAGCCCGTTCCCGTTTCGATCGTGCGCGCCCTCGGCTTCGGTCGCGGGGAGACGTCATGGTGGAAGCCTGATATGGAAGCAATTGGACATTGGCATGTTGGACAGCATTGGTGGGATTCTGGGTTCAGTTATTAGAGCATCGGGCGCGAGCCCTCATTCTCATGTTATGATACGACGAAGTAATGTGTTGGAGTTTTCTGTAGATAAACTTTAGGGAAGATATGCCTTTTCTTTCGCCTGCTGTCCCTCCTCCGAATCAAAATCCCCATTCACTTTGACGTGAAGTACGCTCCTGTTCTCCTGCTTCTCTGTAGGATCGTTTCCGGTTCGGAGCTTCTCGAGCCCATTCTCCTCCTCTGGTGTGAGTCTTCGCGGGGTAACACACTCCTAGTGGTCATTATCCTGTATTTGTGTTAGTGAGCCTAGTATGTTGATCGATCCAATGGGTGAGTAACATACCAACTTGACTACAATGTGTCTGTGAGGAAAGGTTTGATTCAGGTACGCCTCCACGGCGGGCTTCTCTAGGCCGCAAATGGAGGTTCTGTAACCGTACTGTATCCTCGACAGCAAAAAGCTGCGCACGGCGCTATTCATCTTGTGTGTTTCGAGCGTGTATCTGTCTCCTTCCTCGTCCCTTGAGTGAGCTTGTTTGGTGGTGAAAGGTTCAGGCAGTTGATATCGCTCGCTACTTCCTCGGGGTTAGAAGCTGGACAATTTCCGTCGAGGGTAAAGAAGAGCTGTTAATTTTGATATTCATAGGTAGGTAAGGTAGTGGGTAGGCAAGCCCGACCGGTTCGTACCTTCCCGCACATGACAGCAAAAGGAGGGTTAAAGGTATATAACCCCCTTCAAACCCATTCCCGTCACCAGCCAGCAGGTGCCCGTCTAGGTCGACGGGTCAGGTCAAACTGGCTGGGTAGCGGTGTGGTTAATGGTCAACATCAATTAGCTACGCCAACCAGCCTACTCGACGACAGGCTAAGCGCATACGAGTACCCCGAGTTCGAATCCCAGTATGAGCACCAAGAGATGTAGCCACACCGGTGGTGAACTCTTTTTTTTTTATGTTTTAAATTCTTTCCTGAATCATTATTGTACATAGGTGGGAGAACTTTTGCTGGTTGATAAGGTATGAGGCTTCCTTGCTCTTTCCCCATATTGGGTAACTGCGACTACCATCTGGAGATTCACCTCAACACAGGGAGAAGGGGCATGTGACCTGACCACTGGTATGTTGTTTGATTTGAAAATAGCGGCTCAAAGTCACCGCCGGCTTGATGTTGCCAGTCATTCTGTCATCATTACCAGTCTTTTGAATCACTCGCACTATACGTTCGCCACTCACCGCGGCATGATCACGTCACTTGAGCGAGACTGAGAATTATGATGTGTACTGGTATGCTTGATCACTGCATACTACTGAAGCCTGGCTACCAGGCTTTAACAACCCTATGAGCCCTTCTAGGCAAAACGATGAGAAAGAAAGGGGGTATCTGAGCCGAAAGGAGAAAAGCCATCCTAAACTCTGGTCTGTTCTAAACCTCTGCCCTTTTCAACGCCAGTCTGACCAAATACAATAAGAGAAACGGGGGTATTTCGCAAACCCAAAGCCAGTTCCAAATCAATACAGACCCAATCTTCAGCGTACCGATGCTGGAGAATTCAACTCCTTGACGGGGAAAGAAAGGATCACCAGAGGTCGGTAAGAAAGAGACGTCAAGCCAAGAGTGAAGACAACCCAACGCCTGAAACCTAACCCAAGAGACATGGAAACCCAATACCAGAACCTAAGCCAGCGATGTAAAAGTTGCTATTCGAAAGAAATGCAGCCTTTTGATGTGTCGTAGTACTAGTAAAGAGCAAGAAGAGCTCTCGGTGCCAGGTGATATAGGTCGTGGGCGTATTAGTTGCCGTGGCCGCCAGCCGACATGAACGTCAGAGTGTTGGCACCCGCGACGTCCTCGCCATTGATGGGGTAGGTAAGGCCAGGCTGAACGGCAGGCTGGACGACCTGTTTGAAAAACGTGTTAGCAAAGTCGTTCCAAGTCTTTGTAGAAATAAGCTACGACTTACATCGATCTGCATTGCGTCAGGAACGACCGCAGTCACGGCTTGGATAGCGTGATCAGTCCCGTCGATCCAATTTCTCGTCAGGGGGCATGTTCCCAGCTTCATGTTGGCGATTATGGCCAAGGCATAGCCGCGCAGGATTGCAATCGCAGGCAGCTCTCCGTTGTTGCGCTTCATCTGCGTCAAGACAATGTTGGTAACCCAGGCACTGTGGACGATCTCGCGAAGTACAATGTCACACTGCGAGCGCTTAGTGAGACCGGCGGCGCGGATTTGGAGCTTGAGCTTGGCCTGGATCGCATCGAGGAGATCGCCCAGGTCGGCGGTGACGAGGCGGCGGTTGGCGTTGCGCTCTTCCAGGGTGGTGTTCGGGGCGATGGGCTGGGGCGGGAAGACGTGCTGCTGGGGCGGTACGGTCTGGAAAGACTGAGCCTGGCCGGAAGACTGAGCCTGGTTGGAGGACTGGCCCTGGTTAGAAGACTGGGCCTGGTTGGAAGACTGAGCCTGGCCAGAAACCTGGGGCTGGGAAGCCTGCGAAGCCTGGACAACTTCAGGCGCCTTGCCCTTCTGAGAAACCTTGGCCTTCTGAGGAGTCGCGGCCTTCTTGGAAACACCAACGGTACCAGCGGACATGGAGCTCATGCCGGCAGTGAAGGAGTCCATCTTGATCGTGTTCTGGCGCTTCGCGGCCGGGGGCTTCTCGGCAGCAGTCGCCGCACGCTTGTTTTCGGCACCAGGATGAAGCTGAGGCAGGCCGAGGTGACGGGGACCCTCGCCGTACTGAGGGGCATGGAGGTACGCGCCTCCACCCTGGACTTGACCCTGCTGGGCGTATCCGTGATCCTGAAAATAATACGTGAGTGAAGAAAAATCGTAGTGAAGTAGAGGTGCTGTTCTTACCTGGGCCGGGACGTTGGCCTCAGGAATTTCAGAGAGCTTCATCTCCTCCTCCTCAGCCTCGGGCTCCTTCTTGACGCTGCCGGTGCCGGTGCCGCTGCCGCTGCGCATCTTCTCGTACGTGTTGATGGCAGCGGCGCGGACGGGACGGGACTGCGCCAGTCCGACAGGAGCCATGCCCCTGCCCGCATCGGCGGTGGCGGCAGGGACGGAACCCTTGCCGCCTGCCTCCGCGGGCGGGACATACTCCTTGTCGGAGGGCGCGCTCGAATCCATCTCGTCGTCGAAGTCGGAGTTCGAGTCGGAATTGTAGTACGACTTCTTGCCCTTCTTCTTCTTGGCCGCCTTATTCTGCTTCGAATGCTTGGTCTTCTTGGAAGGGCGAAGCTGAGCGGTATTAGGGGAATTCTTGGCCTTGGTGGGTGTAGAGAGAGCCAGGGACGAATTCTGGTTGGTAGTGAGGGTGGTCTGTAGAAAAGGGAAGGAGGGAGAGAAAATCAGCTTCTGAGTGAGAAAAGACGGGTGTGGGTGGAAATCAGCGTACCTGAACCATGCTGCCCTTCTTCGCAGAGCTCTTGGAAGCAGAAGATGGGCCCTTGGTGGGCGAGGCATCAGGAGTGTTGGCCTGACGGCCCGGGACGGCGATGGCCTCGGATGTTGGAGCAGGAGCGCGCGATCCGCCGGCGTGCTGGGTCAAAAGTGCGTAGCGGTCCACCCAGTCGAAATCGCCAACCTCATGAGCAACGTGAGAGCCGAGGTTCGAGATCTCGCCCTTGGCAACGCAGTCACGGCAGACGACGATGCCGCATTCGCTGCACAACTGGTGAACGGTCTGGGCAGTGGGCATCTCTTTGCAACAGTCGCAGGTAATTTCCTCGAGATTAGTCTGTCTCCAGTTGTCGTGGCCACGGTCCCGGCCACCCTTGGACGTGGTATGAGTCTTGAACTGGTCCATGACGATGATTCTGATGAAGTTGGAATGCTGATATTGATGGATAAGGGGTGAGCTCGTCGAGTTGCTGGCGTAGCGAATATTGATGGTCAAGCCGTGAAAAAGAGCTGAGAGTGTCGAGGTAAGAAACGAGAACTCGAGCTGTCGAGGGAAGAAAGGGAATCAAAACAAGAGAAGGTGAGGAAAAGAGAAAACAAAAGTCCAGAGCTCTCGCCCTCCATGGAAATCCTCAATATCAAGAGAGCGGGTACAATAAGTTGTGAGTTGCCGCCTCATGAAGAAGCCCTAATCACAACGAGAGCGGGAGCAGTCGAGGAGCAGTGAGCTTCCCGTCCCCAAGAGAAATCTCCAGCATCCAGGGGCCTGCGGGTAAGACGGGGTGAGTGCCTCGCCTCATGAAGAAGTACTCATCGCAAGAAGGGCATTTTCAGGAAGACCTGGAACTCCTTCTCTTCACAGAGACTCTTGATGACGAAAGACTGGTTGAGGGAAAGGGGTGAAACTTCTACTAGTCATCCCTACTCTCCATACTAGCAGAAGGGCAGATAGAAAAGAAGGGAACAGCCATCAATTCACAGACTCTCGATATCAACAAGATGAGCGGGTGAAAAGGGGTGAGCTGACGGGCGATTAGACATGAACAAGGAGAGTAGGAGGAATTTGAGCATAGTAATAAAGACTCGGAGCTCCTATCAAGTCAATGATATACTGCAAAGTGGCTTACGCAACCCTTCTGGATGGCTTACAACATCAAAGAGACTGAGTGGTATGCACACAGGGGCCTCTCGAAAATCTGTCAAGGAAAGATTGTTATTCGTAAGTAAGAAACCTTAACACAAAGCAATTGGTATATCTCAAATCCAGGGCTGATGAGCTCTCGTCTCATGTGTAAGTTATGATGATCACTGTGCCAGATGAATTGCAGAAGATTAGATTGACACTCAGTCGCGTGAGACCGAGTCTAAAGGACCCGAGTGTGCTTCCATAACTGGCCGAAAGTGAGACTGCCCATGCTGTGGTTGAAATATTACTATGATTCCTAGGCATAATCGGAGCTAAGGTGGTTGTGGTATTACTAGAGACGGATGATGCTCTCAGTATGTCTAGGACTGAGCTCGCGGCACATGTGGCTACCTTAGATGAGTCCTGAATGCAAAACCTGGCGATCATCGCTCCAAACTTGAAGCTTTATCTATCATCGAGTGTGGCTTGATTGGAGAGCAACCATCTCGCCATTTGAGAATGAGATAAATGAGACGATGCTCGTTCCTGGCAAGACTTTGCTACTAAAGAGGACAAGTACGGTCTGATGTGGAGAGCGTATCACCTTCTCCAACATTGCACGTGCAGCATTCCTAATAGGCTGGCAAGAGCAATGTAACTTGATCCTGCCATATCTGACATAGCGGCAATGAGATATCAACATGAGGTCCCTTTTCAGAATGGAAAAAAAGACGATGAAGAGAGAGAAGACTTTGTGGTGTAGAATAGAACCACCAAGTGCCATGATGAGAGCAGTTTTTACTTGTGATTATGATACGTAGCTGGGAAGGCCAAGAAGATAATGCATTGAAGGCAAGACATTGCGCGATTAGAGTGACCGGATACCCTCTTTAAATACCGCAGGAGTTGGTTATACCGTCAGACAGATGCATCGTCATTGAAGAAGACGAGAAAGCGTAGATGACATATGAGTGGGATGAGGTTCGGCAATGAGGATGAATATCAAGACACGGCCATTCACAGATTCCATATATCCATCATGAGTTCCCAGGGCGGCTAAGCACAGATGCCGCTTTACCTAGGAGAAGCTATATATTCTGGTAAGGTAGTAGTCGCCTTGCGCGACAAAAGACAGCGTGTTCCACTACGGAACATGATCAAGTAAACTTATGAAAGTACTTGCCAGTTGCGAGCATATCATTAATCACAGAACCATGACTAGGAGTTCCGCTGCGAAGTAGCTGTGCGATTTGTATCCCGCGCTGCAACACTTGTCCAGAACGGGCTTAACCCCAACGGCCTCGAAGAACAATTGGAACCGGGGGGTAACTAAGAAATAGGACCGTTAGAAGGGATAGTGTTTCATGCGTAAAGGGTACCTATAGCTGAAGTCGAGCGCCTGACAGGCACGCTTCGTCTCTCTGTACGTCAAAAGGGGCAAAAGGTTGACGGGTTATGGTAGGCAATTGCTCGCTATACAAGTCCATTGAAGGCTGTTCTATAGATCCAGGCATACACGAACTGACGTTGAGTACTTTCAAGTCAGGCGACAATATATATATGCGCACTGCGTTCATATCACAAGTGTGCGGTTGTAAAATGTGTAGTTGAACATAACAACTCAGACTGTCAGAAAAGTCGGCATAGCCAACAGTATTAAGAAACAAATCGCTTGCACCCGCGCGGTCAAAGCTTTGCGGCGTGCGGGGCACCGCGTGCGGGAGAGGGACATATCCGATGATGGACAGGTATGCTGGTGGATAGCCTGGAGTTCGATGGTAGTGTGTCCCGCCGTGCCCCCCCGATCGTTGCCAGGACGACTTTTGCACTCGACTTTTTGCGCAACGAAAGAGATTGGCTGGGCGCATAGGGTGGACGGCCAGTTACCATAGTGACACTTAAACGGATAGGACGATGGGGGACCTGGACCACCTCGGGAGAGGACGGGAGACAACGGGTAGGGTCCACGAGAGAGCAGAAATTGCGCACAACATGGACGGGACGAACGGGGTGGAGGAGGGACCGGAGGCAAGTCATGACAAATGCCCACCTCTCTCTCTGCAAGTCTCCAGTCCCATAGATGACTCCGCAGGACGTCCGGGTCCAGAAGCCTTTTCTCGAAACAGGATGGTGTACTCTCTTTTTTTCTTCTCACGAATCGGACGTGGACCACGTTTCGGAGTACGGATACCTACGCGATTCTACATATATGTCGGTGGAAGCTCAGGAAAAAAGTCGACGAGTGACGTTGAAAAAGGCGGGTACGTTCCCAGCAGAGACCCACCGACTGGGAGGCGGCGCACTGTGCTGGGTGAAACGGCCTGAGAACATTTGGCCAATGAGGTGGGCCGGGCTTCCCCAAGAGCTCGTTGATTCGTCAATGGGACCTGCAAGCAATTAAACGCGACCCCGTAAGTGGAGACGTGTAAAACGCGTCGAACGCGTGCGGCTCGCGACGACGCGCCGACCGCATCGCAAAGTTTCGCAACGGGCACCGCCCACCTTCTTTCTGTAGTCTGAACGAGGATATTCTTCCCACTTTCTTTGCTCCAAGTTGGTATGTGGCGCAATGCCCTACTGGTTGACTCACAAGCGGCAATCGCGGGATTCCATGTCTTTTCTCGGTGTAGTCATTCTTTCTTCACCGCTCACCTGCTCGCTCTGATCTTCCTGCAAGTGCTGAAGCCGGCTGATACTAGGTTGGACGGTCCGGTCAATCTTTGACGATTCTGAGTCTGGCGTTGCCTGTCTGCTTGGGCCAAGGAAAGCCATCGGTTGATTTTCCACGCTGGAGTTCTGCGATTTCGCTTTTGCAGCACTCATTGAGAGTGAGGGGGAGGGGAGACTGAGAGAGTGCCCTTGTCGCAATCGCGAAAGTTTGGAAGAGGCGGGGCATGATGCAGCGGATTTACCCACGTTTCTGATGCAAGCCATTAAAGACAGCCCCTCTTTGTGCCCAGGGCACCTGGCATGCGGAGCACGACGGAATGTTGGACCCTAGAGGTGGTGCGCCGCTCTTCGTCACAACGTGAGGTTGAAAGCCACCGCCACTAAGAATACCACCACCACACCGCCATCTCACACGCTCATGAATAACCCCGTGGCTACCCTGAGGGTGGTCTCGCATCACAGAGAAGGAGGGTCATGAGATCGTTTGACGGTAACATAAGAGGCGGGCGTTTCGGAAGCAATGAACCGACTCCCATGGCCAGGAGCACCCTCGAGTCATGCGTCATCTCGTCCACAACTTACAAACGATGGTTAGGGCATAGTATGTGTGACTGAGTATATGGTCGTCTAGTATGGTAAGTACGGAGTACTCTATACAGAGTACCATGGGACGCTGAACAAGCTTCGGGAGGAATTCGGTAGGCCTCTCAAGATTTAATTACGGCCTTCAAGGCCGAGAGAAGGTGGTATCCGGAATCAGAGAGATATGATGTAGTTGGGGCCCGATCGGAACATGTCGCCAAAGCTATCCGGTATAACCCCCAGGAATCGCTCGAATCAAGACCTAGAGACTATGACGGCAGCTGGCCGAAGCACAGACGGAATGTGCTGAAGCACCAAGCCCAGATCCCTTTGTGCAGTCCTCAGCAGTCTCTTAACGCAGTGGTAACTGATAATTGGTAAGTGGCGCAGCATGAGGAGCACGTTTTCTCTCCACAGACTGGCTGGGGGAGCACGAGCATAGAGACCACATGTAACGGCCAATGATCATCATCTATAGTCATTTGCTTTCGGCTCATCTTGCAGGTAAAACTTTGAAGCAATCGCAGCAATCGTGGACAGATGTGAGGGCATAGGGAGACTGGAATAACAGCAGGCAGGCAATCGTGTAGGGCCGAATCGATTGCAAGTCTGTCGTTGGAAACAATAGACGCCTCGAAAGTCGAAGAGTGTGGAGGTCCTGACTCGAGCTAGGCTCAACAGACACTGCTCTGTTGGTTGGCCGTCCGTGTGTCCCATTGTGTGGGAGTTTGACAGAAGGGAGGGCGCGAGCCGCGGCTCCTTAGCGATTAAGTCTGAGCGAACGCAGTAAGCCAAAAGGGGAAGTGTCGATTTTGTCTACATTCTTACGCTTTCCAATAGAACGGGGATTCCAAGCTGAGGTGGATGTATGTCATGAGCCTCGTGAGGCAAGGTAGAGTACTTAGGAGGCAAACCTCGTGGGAGAGGATGTCTCGCATGTCTTGCAGCTATGTTCTCGGCCGGAGAAGCCCAGGGAGATGGATGCTGTCCGATCATCCATGGGCTCAAAGTTTATTGATTGGGCAAAG